AGGGCATAGCTTGGTTACACTTTTTCCCTGTCTGTGTCGGTTAAGGACCGGCCGTTGCATTGGACGCTAGGCAAGTCACAGACTTATTATCCCGAGCACATACTTGGGTTTGGGCGCTAGGAAGACTTGTTGCTCTCTTGTCGTGGGTTCTGGCTCTTTCTGGATCGACTGATTGGAGGCAGGGATGGTGGAGATCCTTGCACCACACTGAGTCCGGGACTCAGGAGCGGGGGCTTGGAGTCCAAGTTTGGATGAGGACCTGGACCCCAGGACAGGAGGGTGATGGGTTGCTCCTACTTGTGCCTGGGGTACAAGCAGGGCATGTGTTTTTAGGGTACCCAGCTGGGGGCATTGATTTGCGAATCACTGGGAAATCCGGCACAGCTTGTCTAAACTCTAACATTGTAGTAAGAACTGAAAGATGGAAGGTGATGAAATGGAACTGATTGCTCAACTCTTGCTTGAAAGTAGAACATGTGCTTACATAGAATGGTTAGATAATGAATTAATCATGGCTGCTAATAATAACATAAATAAGGACTCACTATTAGTATTGCTTTCTTCAAAAAGGAAACCAGCAAACCATTAAGCTTTACATATCCCTTGGAGTCGAGAAACTATTCCCACTAGTCGGATAAGTCTTGCGAGTACATTATGTACTCAGGGTTTATTTACCCCTATTGCAGGTAATGCTTGAGGAGTACCATTGTGTGAAGGATTCTTCTGGTGGCCACAGACGGATCCTTGTTCTTTATCGATATATGTTTATTATCATTCCGATGTTTAATCTTCCGCACTCTAAATTTAGCAATGTAATAATGAATTTCTAAGAACGTTGGATGTATGAAATGTACTAAGTATTGTAACTCATTCTCAGTATTGGATCCTTGGAGAAAAATGTGGATCTTTCGAGCTCTCCCTTGGGGTGTGCCCAATGGATATCGCCCGTTGTAGCTTGCTTACGGGGTGCTTAGTGTCTAGTGGAAGACGAGCGCCTCTGTAAGTGCGTTATTTTGGGTGGTTCTGCCACACAAGCCCACCTGCCGCGCCGTCTCTCTCTTTCCCTCTTTTTCCCTCTGTTTCCACCGCCGTCGTGTCGCATCATGGTGAAGCTAGAGAGCGAGCAACTCTCATCAATTCCTCGTGCTCGCGTCTTCACCTTCATGCCCCCTCTCTAGCTGACCCACCCCGCCTTGACTCGCGTCACGCTGAGCTCCAATTTTGGAGCTTTGCCTCGCCATTGCGCGTTGCTATTTAACCGTCACCACCAGATCGTGGCCAGCCTCCACCATTTCATCCCACGCTAATTCCTCTCGCACCACTAGCTCACTTTGGCTCTCTCTTCATTGTGCGCACACTAGTCGCAGCTCTAGTGCTTCCTCCTCGCCATTGATGCGCCGTGCCTTTGCGGTCTGCTTGCTCACTCAAGGCCACAGACGTGGCCAGCCTCGCTCGGGTCGTCTCTGGCCGAGCTGGCTTCTCGGTAAGGTCACTGGTGAGTTGTCGTTGCTCACCCACTACCCTACTGCCTTATTGTTGCTGCAGCTCACCTGAGCACCGTTGCCATTGCCGTAGGGTGCCCGCTGTCGGGGAGAGGTCCTTCTACGGCGTCCCGGCTCATGCAACCACCGCCCATCGTCTCGCGTGAGATCTCGGTGAGCGATAGGTCAAAGATGGGTCTTGTGTGGCCAAGCACAAGCGCCAAGCATATCGCCGCCACGCCGCTGCTGGGAAGGTCGGGGCCTTGCCGCCAGTAAAGAGGAGAAAGATCCAAGGGTTTCATTGCAAAGTCGCCGTCTATAGAAATAGTAACGTGGAATGCGGGTAGTTTTGCTCAAAGTCCAGGGGTGTTTTTGCTAATGTGTTTCACAGAAGAAGTCGCCTCTCGTGGGCCACGCTTATGGGCCACATGCAGCTCACAAGGCTGCTCACATGGGCCACTTTAATGTAAAGCGGTTTACCTTTTTCGTGGAAAATAGAAATAGCTTTTCATTTCAATTCCGAGCTGAACTTTGGTAAATTATATAAAATCATGTAGGTATCCAAAAATTGTGAAACCAATTTTGTTAAGTTCCTAAAATTATGCTCTATCTGTTAGTGTATTTAGTTCATATATGTGCTTGTTGATACTAGAAGCTATTAAATTATTTGAGAGTGCTTAATATTATTAGGTTAAATATTGTAGGAATTTTTGTGGCAAAATGGTGATAACTTTAGCTTTGAAAATTTTACAGTAGCTTCATGATATTATTATGTGCTCACTGTAATTTTTGTAGCTTTAGAATAGACTTAACCTAAGGGTAGTTAAATGCTCTTTGTTTCAAATATACATTAAATCATTAGTAGAAATAAAGATATATCCTTCATTTGTAAAGCTAGGAGTTTGTTAGTTGAACCCAACACTTTACTTGATGAAGATGATAGTTAGCTTAGTATCTTAGTCATTAGAGCTAGTTTAGTAGTGTACCATGTGTATTCTTATTTTAAGAGTTACTGTTGCCGAAATGCTAAGTGTTGTATCATCATCGCATGCATGTAGAGAACGAGTTGGCGGAGATCGTGACCATAGGAGATCATGAGTTCAAGGAGGTGATCGAGGAGTATGAGGAGAAGATCCTCGTGTAGGAGGAGGTCCTGGAGCCGCTACTAACGGACTGAGTTGACACCGCGCCTGCCCAAGGCAAGCCCCGGTGCATAATCCTTATTTTGAATAATCACTGAATATATATACCTATGATGCACATTTATGTTACAGGCATTTTATGGAAACCACCTGCATAAATATATATGTCCTATGAGTCCTAATAGTACAGGTGCGAGCAGCTGCTATGCTTAGGATTTTCGATAGAGTGAGTAACCTGCCGTTACTCACGATAGGTGATTAGTATTATTACTCTCATGATAAAATGGTGAAAGGAAATGGAGACCGAGCAGGGATATGGTACGGGTATTGATGGGGGTAATATGTTGTGTCCCGCGGCGAACGGGACATAGCTTGGTTACACTATTTTCCCTATCCATGTCGGTTAAGGACCAGCTGTTGCATTGGATTCTAGTTAGGTCACAAACTTATTATCCTGAGCACATACTTGCTTATAGGAGCGGGAAGGCTCGTTGCTCTCTTGTCGTGGGTTTCGGCTCTTTTCGGACCGACTGATTGGAGGCGGGGATGGTGGAGGTCTAAGCACCACACCGAGTCCAGGACTCACGAGTGGTGGGTTGGTCTTGCTTGTGCCTAGGGTACAAACGGGACGTGTGTTTCGGACTACCCAGCTAGGCTACATTGATTTGTGAACCGCCGTGTAATACGATATGACTTGTCTACGATCTAACACCGTAGTAAGAACTGAAAGATGAAAGATGGTGAAATGGATCTGATTGCTCAACTCTTGCTTGAAAGTATGCTTACATTGAATGGTTAGCTAATGAACTAATCAGGACTGCTAATAAGAAACATACATAAGGATTCACTACTAGTAATGCTTTTTGCAAAAAAGAAACCCAGCAAACCATAAAGCCTATTGTATCATTTGGAGTCGGGAAATTATTCTCACTAGTCAGATAAGTCTTGCGAGTACATTGTGTACTCAGGGTTTATTTATCCCTGTTGCAGGTGCAGCTTGAGGAGTAGCTGTTGTGTAGAGGATTCTTCTGGTGGGTACAGACGGATCCTTGTATCTTATCGTTAGATGTTTATTTTAATTCCGCTATTTAAATTCCGCACTCTGAACTTGGTGTTGTAATAATGAATTTCTTAGAACTCTTGTTGTATGAAATAGACTAAGTATTGTAAACTCATTCTCATTATTGGATCCTGGAGGAAAACATGGATGGCTCGAGTTCTTCCTTGGGATGTACTCGACGGAACCGTCCGATGTAGACAGCTTTCGGGGTGCTTAATGTCTGGTGGAAAACGAGCGCCTCCGAAAGCGTTCTATTTCGGGCGATTCTACCACAAAGACATTCCATGTGCTTTCTCGACACTCGAACATCATCGATGAGCACAAGAACACAAGAAGCAGCGAAGGCAGGGGTGAAAATAAGAGAAACGCAAACATATAATGATGGTGCAAAACAAACCAATCATAATTCAATAAGAGAAATAAACACAGATAAGTGGTGGTCAAATCAAACCAATCTTGTGCAAATCTAGTTGCAGTGGGTGAATTCACAATTCAAAAATAAATTCGTAAGAGGTCTATACATTGGAACTAATTTATGGGTTCATATATCCAAGTAGATTCTACTCCTAATATTACGTATTCTAGCTACCATACAAGTCCATTTTACATGACCTGACTTGGCACCAGCACCTCGTGATCCCTTATGCTCCCAAAGGAAGAACATCTCCTTGAATTGCCTGTGTCTGAACTTCTCATGGCATGAAAGCAGATGCTAATGCACACCACCTCGTAGAGTGGAATTGCATTTTCCCTGGGCAATTATTAACAGAAGACAATAAGTTCACAATTTTGCACTTAGTGCAAGACTGCAAACCATCCCTTGCATATGTAATAATGACATCTCGGATGTATGCTCCAGCAAGTCCCGTTCCTTGCTGAGCTTAATCTGCACCCACAACATGTGGCCCTTTGATCAGAGAAATCCAAACATGTGGCCCTTTGATCAGAGAAGAAATCCAAACATGTGGCCCAATCATTTATTTTTTTTTAACTGAGGAGTGAGGAGCAATTATCTCTTATTTGAAAAGTCTAGGCTGAACTGAGTTAATTCTAAAATGCTATCTTGTTTTAACAAAGCTAACAGGTGCATTGCCATACATGGAACAAATACAAGTGAAGAACCCTCAGTGACAGCTAATTGTAATGGCTTGCCTGTATGCAGTATCCATGCAACTGAAAATTCATATATAATACATATAACCCCTCCGGGATTACCCCTCTTTGTTTCTAAAAAAAATCCATGTATGGTCATATCCATGCAACTGAAAATTGCTGGTCAATTTAAACTGCTATTTTGCTCATAGAATATAAATTGCTCTAGTTATCAATCTTTAATCCAGGTTGTTGCGCTGTCAGAGAAAAAACATTAAAAGCATAAACTAAAAGTCCCCAATTTTTACATGAGAAAATATACTTCAAAGATGTTGAGATGATGACCTGCAAACATCATTCCATATTTCCCAAACTCACCAATAGCAGCGTGGTAGCAGGTAGAGAGCAGCAGCACCCTCAAGTCTCCTCTACATCGAGCAATCAGAGAGAGCAGAAGTCAGAGTGGGACGTGCACTCTATTATCTTCCATGTGCACTCAATTATATATGACAGTGCTTATTCTAGGAAAGTAGTGTGCCCGTGCTAACGCTACGGTAAAATACAAAACACAGCATACATAAGTCATCAGTTCCACATGGTGGTGAGAACAGCCATGTAAATTTTAGTCAACTAAAATACTATTGATAAAAAACAAACCTATCTCTTGGATCCCCTGATGCCATACATTGAACCTTCACATAATCAGTAGGATCCATGCTACCTCCTTTCTTGGTATCTGACCTCACATAGCTTGCGGCATGCCAAGTTAAGGTTGACACAATATCAAGCCATTTTTGTGGACCCACCATCATTTCCCATTCCGATGCCTTCTGCCTTCAGTAATTGAGCCACAAGTGCTAGGAAATGACCGAGCAGTGCAGTCTTCAGACCCTCTTTCTGTGCGATGGTTGTGACCTTGTCAATACCAGATATTTTGTTAGCACTAAAGATACCAGAAACAAGAAGCCCGCTTGAGTCCCCAACCTCATCATGCTGTTGAAAAACTAAAAAAAAAGAGATTTTTACACTAACAGAGCCAATCACATCTACCAATATATGAGAATTTGAGTAGCAGCCATAGTCCCACTGATTAGTTACAACCTACCCCTGTACTGAAACAATTTGACTCATTCTACAGAGACAAATCGACGAAGCAAAGCATGCCAGTGTGAAGAAACTCCATAAATAAAAAATTGTACAATAACAACCATTATTACCGAAGCACTCCACTAATGATCACAACGCTGAAAAGTTGTGCAAATTTTACGTCAGTAAATCCAATCGCATTCAACAATATGCTGAAATTTAGCACCCGGCCATGTTGCCAGTGATGAACTGATGATAAACAAAATCGATAAAGGTGGGTATACAACGACGATAACCAAACAAAATATAGCCACGATTAGCAGAAAATTCACGAGGACCAACCCACTCGCTGCCGTTGGCAGGGACGACATCCATGTGCATGCCGACGAAGGAGGCAACGCGGCCGGGGACAGTGCCGGGGTAATCGAATCACAAATAAATTAATCGTATCGCAGGGGGAGAGAAAGGGAAACCGAAGAATTATGAACTTGCAAAGAGCTGTATGGTTGTATAGACCTGCCACATCAGACAGCATAAGTAGCTTCGAATTGACAGCTTTGAACTGCTCTCCTCACAACCAATCTTGGCTCACCATCGTTACCTCTGTATGTCAAAAGAATGAAAACAAATGAGAAGTGGATAATGTCCTTGTTTTGTTTACAGAGCTAATTTCTGTTTCTTGTAAGATTCAAATCAACTCATTTGTGGTCCGGTGCTGACCTGCGTGTTGCCGTGGAGCCTACACGGGGCAAGCGAGAGGCCGTCTGAGATCTACCAGTCCAGTATCATGCAGGCTCCATGACGCATTTACATTTTAATTTCTTTCTTCCGGCTTCGAGGAATCGCGTTAACATGTGACCTTCACCGAGTCGCTTGTTCGCGGCCTAGCCCTTACCGGAGGCTGGGAACAGCATTAGACTTTTCATAGCGGCGACATTTTAATTCGCAGCTATTTCACAATTACGATCCGTTTTTATTTTTAATCAAATTAATTATTTATATAGGATTCCAGACTTCTAGGATTTTTATCGTTATATAGTCATATATTTCTTCTAATTTAGGTATTAGAATTTTAGAATATTACCTAAGAAACATTTGTCATAGTGAGAAAAAAATCGAATATATTGTTTTTTTTTTTAATCTACATTGTTCATCGATAATTATCATACATCTATAAATATATTGTTTAATCTACATTGTTCCTCGATAATTATCGACATATAAAATTAAAAATATGTTATTGATTTTTTTTTTTCGTTTTGCAAGTAAAATTAGTGCCTATATATTATAATATTTTATACATAGTCAAGAGGAGCCGTTACAGCGTAGATCACCGGAGGTCCCTTTTTAATCATATAACCGGCACCTGCTGATGATGGTCTTGGCGTCAGGCGGTGATGGCGTGGCCTGGCCACTGGCAGGCATGGGCGAAGGATGGCACACTATATTAACTACTATTGGCAATAGCAAACCCAAGAATCCATGGAGCTCAACAAAGAATCACCACCGAAAATGCACTCATCACACCATTGAGGGGGGAGGCACGCTCGGTAGCAGGACGAGATCACCTTGCATGCGTGCTGGTGTCGCTCGTCGTTAGTGTCTCACAAAAGCATTAGTTGCTTGCTCGTGATCCCCATTTCCATAGACCACAGGCACTCAGGCAGTACACATGGTTCTGCTCTTGCTGCATAGATGAACACAACTGAAACACCATAAGAACGACTCTAACAAAACCAAGAGCCATTAGATTCGTTTACTGCAGGAACAAATTAGCATGTGAAAAATTTAGAAAGAATAAGACGAACAAAGTGGATCTGCATGCTGATGAAAGAAATTTCTCACCTCACATCTGCTACACAACAGGGTGCGTGCACACATTATTGGCCTTCTTCCACAGCCAAAATCAAAACAGGCTAAAGTTTTGTCGAGTTACAACCCTTGCAATCAAAATCATATATATATTTTTTTTCTTTTGTGCTAATATTCCACAGCTGAATTCTGAAAGGCCTTCTTCACTACCAACGATTACCTAATATGTAGAAAAAGACTTAACAGAAACAATAATGGGTACAGCTGCAGATCCATGCATCTTTAAAAAAAATCTTTGCTCACAACTCAACAATCCTATGTTTTATTCTCTATGGAAAATAGAAGGCCCTTGGAGGAACACAAAGCACTGACTTGTTCTTTGTGCTATTTATCTGACAGAACTAATCTTCCTATGTTAGAAATTTATTATACAAATTTAATTGGATTACTAAAATATGTTCGGAAATTTTGTACCTTTGGCTGGTCAGCCAGCTAAAATAAAGAATTAGAGAAATGAAACATTACAAAATCTAACGCTTTTAATAGTCTCCTTTGCTTACATACCGCCAAAGAAAGAAAGTAGGCAAGAGTGGGCTATCGCTTCCCTTTTGCAATTGGAATATATTCTAGACACATACTGGATTGTGGACCATGGAAGAAGGAATGCCATGTTTCACCACACCAATATGATCCAGCAGTCTGGCAATTAAGAAAAAAAATTGAGAAGTGGTCCACATTATTCCCCTTAGTGAAAATCATCAAACACTTGCACGACAATATCAATAGATGTTATTGATGATTACTCAAAAGAACGCAGGGATAGGAAAAAAACTCCATGGAATCTAGCTTTCTGCTGGTGGGACAATGGAAGGGATGAGGAGCTAACCATTTAAATCTACCAATGACAAAACCCTCTGAATAACCATCATGTTCTACAGCACTACTTTTGCAGCACTTTTCAGCGAACGAACAATATTTTCCTCTCATAACAAATCAGCGTAAGCATAAGCCAAATTTCAACGTTGAACCTGGTGAAGTTCCTGATTGTCCATGTGAAGTTGTTAAACACGATATCTGCCCATCTTCTATGGGCTGGCCCTACCACTGCCAACAGGCATGGAACAAGTGTGTATTGAGATTCAGGAATTAGGTTAATGCAGCACACACAACCAAGTTCCTACTGCGGCACATTATCAAACCAAGCTACAAATCAGACTGAAACAAATATATATAAGCAGTAAAATGAGATAAGCACGTACATGGTCTGGGATGCGTCGGCCACCTCCTTGCTCATGAGCGTCAGAGAGAACTGCGTCCGGTAAAGGGCATCAGCAGTCAGCACGAGCCCGCGACGACGACGCGGCCACCATGAGGCGCCAGCGGCTGGGCAGCTTCCACGTTGGCAAGGCGGGGGTGGCCTCCTCCGCCGCCACATGGTTCGTGGCAGCAGCGTCGCTGCTCCCTGCTTCCCACCTTGTGGAGATGGTTCAGCGCCTTCTCCTCGACCACGATGAGCTTCCCAGGGAGCGCCTGGCGGTAGCGATGGCATCGCCGGCGCGGTTGATGTCAGTGCAGTGCAGGATCCGGTGGCTCCCACATGTCTTGAGCGAGAGATCTAGATTAAAATGTTTTCGGCGGCGGCGCGGCATTGTGGCGATGGCACCGGTCGACGTGGTTGAGGCGGCGTAGGGATGTCATGCACGGCGGCGTTGGAGACGTGCGGCGACGTAGGGACAGCCCAAGTGGTTTTCCACGAGGCTTAGGGAGAGGGCAGAGTGAGGATTTCCGCGAGGACGAGGGATAGATCGATTGTACGGGTCACCGGGATCGTGGGGAGATTGCCGTCTTTCTAGGAAACGTTCGAGCGGTGGAGGCCGGGACGCCGGGTACGTGATTGACGGAATGACGGCACGTGGGGGTGCAAGGGAGTGCATGAGGGAATGACTTGTGGTATCGCACGGTGAAGGCAGAGCGACGACCCGAACGATCGTCGCACCATTCGGTTTAGTTTTGTTCTTTTTAGTTGTATAGGTAGCATGCCCGTGCGTTGCTACAGCATAACTAAACTTTTATACTAAAAACACACGAATCGCACGATAAGATAACAATACTGTACATGGTGATCAAATTTGATGGTTACCTTAGTCTATGGTGATCACTTTGATGTCATTCTTGTTCAGCACTATATTCCACTGCCACTATGTTCATTTCCTGCAAAGAGAGTATAGAGCTTGATATATTCTCATGAGTCATGTCACTGCCATCAAGCTATGTCATGCTTCACCCTTGCCCTGAAAATATGTAGTATATAGGAGTAACTATGTCATGCATGATCAAGTTCCATAACAACATCATTCTACTAAGTTATGATCCAGGGCTGTCTAAATTCTGGTACCAAATCGATTGTTCTAAGCACTGTCTAAATTCTCCAGCAGTTTTCTCAAAATATCAGACCTCATTTACAGTCAAAGGATTTATAGAAAATAACTTATTTATGTAAACACTAAAATTTTCTGAATCCATTGTGTACTTTTGATTCAGGAGAACAAATATGTTTCAAATATTTTCAAATAAACTCTTGGATCAAAGCCAAGCGGCTTTTCGCACCTTCTTCAACCTTTGTGATTCTCTCTTTCGGGGGACAATGTGAGGTGAATCTTGTCTGTCTTTATACTATTACCATTTTTAACCGGAAATAGGATCACTGTAGAGTTGTACTTTGTACAATATATTTCAAACAACAATAAAGTTTGAAGATGTTAATTAAATTGGTACTTCTTGCAACTTGAAGCCAATAAAGTGTGTCATCTTACAGCAGGATTGGCCCTTGTGCTTGTGAGAGGGAAGAGCTGAGTCCCAGTACCACCAGCCAAAATGACAGCAGCAACTTCATTAGGATCAGCATAATTCCTCCGACAGGATGTTCAGATGACCTGTAAGTTTTTTGCATCCAGAAATTGAGAATTTTAGCAGGTAACATCAAATAAAAAATATTACAAATTAAAGGGTTGTGATGAAACATTTGGTATAGAGTCTAGAGATGCAACAAATTATTCACCCAATACATTCTAAGCAATTAAAAAATAGCAACAAAGAGTGTAAAATGGAATTGAGGCTCGTACCTCTAGGTAGTTATCATTGTTTATTTTCTGCGTTTGCTAAATTTCAAACTTTATAGGTTATTGTTTTAAGACAGGAGCCAGATGAAAAAAAACTTCAACGTCAACTTGGTCAAACTTACATCAACAGAAAAGGGAACCAAGGCATACATACATGTCTGGACATGCAGTTTGGTTCTTGCCGCATGCTTCCCAGCTAACCACTTTGCTCCGACCATTCTCCCTACTGCAGACCGAATGAAGGTCTCAATGATTAACACCTAGCGTCTCTCTCTGTCCTTATCTATAGAAACACTTAATCCTAGTTTCATACCATTATGTTTTTCTTCAGGGTGTCAATATAACGGTACATGGTGTAGAACAGTCTTTCTTGTCAGAGGTAAATCCCACATGAAGTGATTGTAAATAGATTAACCACCATAAAAAGTCATGGATAGACATGACTTCTATCACATAGTAAAGAACAACCATAGAAGGCAGACAACTACATCCATGGATAGGCAAGCATTAGAAGACCAATTCATCAAAATGGTCTGCTGCACTCTTCACTCGTGCTTACTGCTTAGTACTACAACAAAATCTCTTGCATCACCACTGCAAGTCTATTAAGTAGCAGCATAAGCCTCTCTACAAATAGACCCAATTATCTGAAACCACCAATTTT